TGGAGTGACCTCCCTTCAAAAATTATTGTCCACCCCCCTGGACTGGGGGCTTCACGCAACACGCAGTCAACCTTGACAGCGGAACTCCTTGACAGATGATGTGAAGACCAGGACTTTAACAGGGTTTAAAGAATTAGATGAATTCATGGAGGTTAGGTCCATCAATACTTATTAGCCAGGATGGGTAGGAATGATGTCCCTAGCCCCTGTTTGTCAGAGGCTTGAAATGGGTGACAGGAGAGGGATCATTTACTGATTACCTGTTCTATTCAGTCCCTCTGGAGTATCTGGCATTGACTACTGTTGGAAGACAGCACACTGAGCTAGTAGATGGACCTTTGTTCTGACCCAGGATGGCCATCTTATGTTCTTGGCTTTCGATTTTGGGGTCTAGGCTAGCAGTACCTTGTGTCCCAAGGTGGAGCATTAGACAAGAGGTCTGAATCAGGGAGAGTGCCTTGTAGACCTACAAGTAGAAATACCTTTAATTTTACTCAGAGCCAGCTGGCCTGAGAGCCAAGATCAGCTGCACTCTCAACAGACTGTTGATGACAGAGACCAGGTTGTGACACTAGAGTTTAACACAACAGCAGTATGAAAGCTTCCCTGTTTGCCCAAAGATCATTTTTGGGGCAGCAGCTCTGAAGTTTGCTACAATGACCACATTGGGACATGCCTATGGTAGGGATGTAATAGTATAGTCAATTAACTGATTAACCGATAAGCAAAAGCCTATAGGTTAATGCTATAGACTACATTCATTCTTCCCTACTCCTGGCAGTACGTTTTTTAGCAGGCTGGCCAGCCACCTGGCTCGGTCCTGGCTTACGCCAGGTTAGGTACCTAGCCCTGTTGTGGTTCTGCATTTAAAGTGTATTGGGGGAGGGGAGGGGGCAGATGAGCAGGCAGCCTGGCTCAGTTCTGGCTTGCGCCGAGTCCTGGAGCTCTGACTGCCCCTTGGACAGGGACTGCTAAATCACACTTCTGCTTCTGCATGAGAGGCAGCAGCGTGGCGACAGGCAGCTAGTCCATGAGGGGAGCTCTTTTTTAAAGTGTTTCCCCTTGAGAACCAGCTCCTGCTTGGCACCCGACGCTGCTGCCTCTGATTCAGAGGTAGCAGCGCGGAGTGGCTGGGGCTTCCTCGGGAGTGGGGCCGGAGCGCACTGGCTGCTGGCCCCACCTCTGGGGACTATAGAATAGGCAGGTAACTGGTAAGAATTCATGAGGTTAATCGACTATTCAGTTAACTGATATTTAACATCCCTAGCCTTTGGGAGCCTGGTTATGTGCTTGCTCGTGTCACATTGGGCCATTGACTGGGTGCAGTATTTGGGAGGAGCATAGACTGTGCCTGTCCATTCTCATCCTGCTGTTGATTCTTGATGGTGCCTTGGGGCCTCCTTGGTGGCCATGCTCCCTGGGCCACTTTTCAAAGGAACATCTGCTGTTGGATCAGGTTTGCTGCAGGGAGATGAAACTAATAAACAAATAGTGATGTAGTTTTAAGGCTGAGAGTTGTAAATGAGGGAATCCCATGTAATCGGAAAACAGGCCTGCCGTTATGGGAGCATATCCGGTGCAGATTTTTCCTGTGGGTATCTGGTTGCAAATGACTTCCCTGAACCCCCAGGCTATGTCTACACTCGTGGCTTCTTGTGCGAGTAATATGCAAATGAGGCTGTGTGGAATATCGCCGAGCCTCATTGCATACCTAATGAGCCACCATTTTTTTTCAGAAGAGGCTCTTGCGCAAGAAGGAGCATCTACACTGCCCCTTCTTGCGCAAGAAAAACCCTCTTGCACAATGCCGTTCTTCCTGAAAAGTAATAGGTGTAACGGCATTGTGCAAGAGGGGGGTGAGGCAACCCCGCACTAGCTGCTTCCCCCCAGCAGACCAGGGAGACGCGAAGCTAGCGCCCTCCTCCCAGCAGACCAGGGAGACGCGGAGCAGTTTTTCTCAGCAGACACCTCAGCTTGAGAATAAAGGGCTGAGGGAAGTGAGGTGTGGGAGAATAAAACTGAGCTCTGGAGAAATGTTTGGCTAGAGTTTCCCCTACAATATGTACCAGTTCCGACTTACATACAAATTCAACTTAAGAATAAACCTACAGTCCCTATCTTGTATGTAACCCGGGGACTGCCTGTACTCCATCTTCCGCAAGAGCCTCTTCTGAAAAAAATGGTGGCTCATTAGGTATTCAAATGATGCTTGGTGATAGTCTATGCTTAGCTTCATTTGCATATTACTCGCGCAAGAAGCCGCGAGTGTAGACATAGCCCCAGAGTTCATGGGGTAGGCCAGTCTAATGACCTGGAGCAATGCTGTGTGACTAACCATGTGCCTTGCAATCAATGTCCAACCCTCTCACAATTTATATATTACCAGGGAGAATCAGACAGCACACAATTCTGGGTATTAGCAGTAGGGATGTGAGCGTGCACCTGTTTACACAATTAACCGATAAGCCTGTGGTCGTTGGTTAATCCTAATGGTTACACCCTTCCATCCCCTTGTTGCCTCTGTATCAGAGATAATAGCTGGGGGGCAAGAGGGGATGCAGGAGCTAGTACTCACAGGGCGTCTGTTTAAAAGCCAGCTCTCCAAGAGCATTGGCTCCTGCCTGTCCCCGGTGTATAAATGTGTAACCGCTAAAAAATTCAGCAGTTACACGTTTACCAAAATAAATGTTTGTTAACATCTGTAATTAGTGGAGGAATATCTGAATTGGGAGAATTAATAAAAGCAGAAAAAAAGCAACCCCTTAATTTGGAATATTGCCTGTTTTCAAGTCAGAGATTTCTCACTCTTCCGGTTAACAGTACTTGGGCAAAAGGAAACGGAGAGGTTTGCTCTTTGTTTCTGACCTTTGGAGGATGGTTGGTTGCATTTCTAGCCAGCAGCCTGTCTGAAGTTCAGATACAATGGTACGGCATAAAATTGGTCAGATGTTCTGTAGATGGAATCCTGCAGAACTTGGAATGTCACGTCTGTTCCCTCCGGGGTTGTGTCGATGCGCAGATGAAATTGCTAGACTTTGCTTGGGTCTGTGAAAACCTCCTGGGTGACTCTAGTATTTTGACAGGATCAAAATGTGAAGTCGAAGATCTCCCTTTTCCCAGAAAGCCCACCTTTCTCCAGGCCTACCTTGCCTTTTAGGTGGGAGCTTAGTGGTTGGCAACATCCCTCTGGTTCAGGATGGTGATTGCACCGGGAGGAGCTTTTTGCTGCCTGCCACCAGGCTGGAACGCCCCCCTCCTCCCAGCCGCAGGCAGGGGTTGTTTCAGCCCTGGCCACAGCAGCCCCTCCCTGCAGCACACTATCCAGGCTGGAACAGCCCCTGTTTGGGGGGCATCTGGGCCCGCTGCAGGCAGAGGCTGCTCCAGCCCCACCAGTTAACCTTAACCAGTAAGCCTCATCCGTTAAGGGTTAAACCAGTTAGCTGATTAAATCTCCACATCCCTAGTGCAGGTCCCGCCTGGTTGGAGTTTTCATTGTGCAAAGTTCCCAGGGCTCTGAGCTGAGATGTGGACTTGGGGCTGGCAAACCCTTCACTAACCAGCATTTGATATTAAAGCAATATCGTACAAACTCTGGCAAGGGAGAGGGAGGCAGCTAGGGTTTGAATCTGAGACCATTTGACTGGCTATTTAGTGCTTTGTTTTTGCTGTCAGAGCCAAATCTTGAGCCCTGGCAAAATTCCCATTGAATGGGAGTTTGAGTCGTGTTCATTTATTTTTTCACTCCCATTGAAGGTAGCTACAGATTCATGTATTGCATTTATTTGGCTCCTGTGATCCTAAAGAGTGCTGACCATTTCTAAGAGGATCATAATCCTCAACCGGACTTTTTTTTAAAAAACATGGGCCATATTGGCTCAACTTAGCCCAGCTAGCCCGGTATCCTATCTTCCAACAGTGGCTAGTGTTAGATGCTTCAGAGGGAATGAATAGAACATGGTGAGTGAATGACCCATCCTCCGATGTCCAGTCCCAGCTGGTAGAACTCAGATGTTTAGGGATAACCAGAACATGGGGTTGCATCTCCTGATAATTTTGGCTAGTAGCCATAGAGGGACCCATCCTCCATGAGTTTATCTAGCTCTTTTTTGGACCTTGTAATAGGTTTGGACTTCACAACATCCTCTGGCACAGAGTTCCAGAGGCTGACTGTGCTTTGTGTGAAGAATAGTGATAGAAATGTAGCCGTGTTAGTCTGGTGTAGCTGAAACAAAATACAGGACTATGTAGCACTTTAAAGACTAACAAGGTGGTTTATTAGATGATGAGCTTTCGTGGGCCAGACCCAGTTCCTCAGATCAAATAGTGGAAGAAAATAGTCACAACCATATATACCAAAGGATACAATTAAAAAAAATGAACACGTATGAAAAGGACAAATCACATTTCAGAACAGAAGGTGGATGCGGAGGGCGGAGGAAGGAAGGTAAGTATCTGTGAGTTAATGATATTAGAGGTGGGGAAAGGTAGATGTCTGTGAGCTAATGGTATTAGAGGTGATAATTGGGGAAGCTATCTTTGTAATGGGTAAGGTAGTTGGGGTCTTTGTTCAGCCCCCCACGGAGAGTGTCGAATTTTAGCATGAATGACAGTTCAGAGGATTCCCTTTCAAGTGCAGATTTGAAAGTCTTCTGGAGTAGGATGCAGGTGATTAGGTCGTTGAGACAGTGTCCTGTCATATGCTTATGAGAAATTCATACAAGTACATTACAGAAGTAATCACTAAGCCGAATTACTGCGACTTCACAGCTATGCGTCAGGTGTTCATTTCTTGGTGGAATATTTTATGGAGTGTTTCAAATCCAGTGTTGTCATCTGCCAAAGAGCAACAGTTGAAGTCAGAAGGGGCGTGTGACTCTAAAATGAGCAAAAGAAATAGTAAGAATTGAAGGTTTTGAATTTTGACCCACTTTTGCAATTGTATTGTCTGAATTTTCATTAATTGAATGCCCATGTTGATCATCTGCCATGTTTTCCTGCAGGCCTCCTTCCCTGGGAACCTGCAGTTGGTGATGGTTCTGCGTCCCACTGGGTTTTTCCAGCGCACTTTCACCGACATCGGATTTCGCTTTAGTCAGGAAGATTTTCTACTCAAATTACCAGTAAGAATATGTTGGCTGTGCATTATGCTTATGTCATCCTGAACACTGATTTGATTATGTGCTGCTATGTCCATGCCGTGTCCTCACTCAGTCCCTAGTCCTGAGAAGTAAATGGGGCTTTTCTCAGTATTAACTCAGCATTTCAAACAAAATGTAGCTTTTCAGAAGCGCTGGATTTTCCTGCTGTATGGTGTTGTGAAAAACGCATGGCTATGTTTTCCTTTGGACGAGAACTAGATTGATGTTTGAAGGTGATGGATTGGGAGCTCTGTCAGGCAAAGCTTGCTATCTGCAGAAGTGGTATTGTACCGGGCAGTGGCAGTACAGGCTGAACTATGTGACTGCCCAATATGCCTCCATCCCGAGCAGGAGCCGAAAAGGTAGATCATTATTTAATACCTCTTTAACATTGGGCACGTCTGAAGAGACTTCCAATGCAAGTGCCACAGTTGTGGCCAGTCACCCTCACCTTAATCTCAGGGTAAAAGGCCTCAGAGTTGGGGTAGGGGGACACACTCTATCCTAGTTGGACTGGAGCGGCCCTCTTGCCTGCCTCTGTTTAATTAGTTAATTGGGTTAAACATAACATTTAACTGATTAACCGGGATTTTACATCCCTGCTCTACACTGCTGGCCTGTTTCACCAGAGTAGGAAGGCTTGTCACCATGCACTATTAGAGTATGTTGCCGATTTCCCGGTAGCCCACGGTCATCTGTGGAACCAATGTGTTTCCTGCAAGTTTCCCCTCTACGGGTGACCATCCTGAGAGTTATCCACAGACTGTATTCTTTTCCCTTCAGGAGTCGAGATAATTCTTGTAGCTCTCCCTCCTGCTTCAGGGTCTCTTGTAATAGCCCTCTTGCTTCCTGCAGCCATGTACTGCAACTGAGCCACTTGCTGGCTTTGATCTTAAGCTTATCAGCCTTAGTTGGGATGTAGCTAGCCCATCACTGAAGAAACTAGGCCCAGCTCTTCTTAAAGGGCCCGCCACCCTGTGGCACACCTTGTCTGTGAAATCATAGGTACTTTCTGTGCTTGGGGACGGGGACCAATGGAGAGTGATTGAAAGGAGAAATGCTTCAATAGTATTTGAGTCTGAAAGACTTCGTTGTAATCTCCTCCCCAATTATTAAATTAAATTATAATAATAGATTACATTCATGGTAACACATTAATAGTACTAATTTAATTATTAAATTAGCTTATTGCTCTCATTTTTGCTGAAAAATCACGGAATGTAAATTTTTCACTCAGTTTTGTTTTCAAAACAAAATATCTACCCCCTTGTGTTATTGTGCATTCATCTATTTTTCCGAAGCGTATATCTAGTAATATTTCCACTTAACCATACTAAACATTTTTTATCATTAATTTAGCATATATTGCTTATTTGATATTAATATTATTGAGGTATTATTAGTATAATAGTTTAAGGACACACTTATAAGGGCTTGTTCTACAGCCTGACTAAAGACATAGTACCAGGTTATTTCTTAGTCTACCTAATCACGACTAATAAGCAACCCTTGTTAGTAAGATACACCGTTACCAGTTTCAGGCCCCCATCCACCTCCACAAAATCCAAACACCCTCCTGTAAAAACCAAAACCCTGCAGAATCTTTGAAAAAATCAAAATTCACACAAGAAAAAGGTTAATTTTTGCATCAAAACATGTTAAAATATGTAGTTTGCCTATTTCTATATGGAACTGAGCTGTGCAGTGCCCAGAGGGAATTTTAAGAATATATATTTTTTCCACATGAAATGTAACTCTCTCCTCTCCAACAATCACATCACTGCTGTTTACACACTTGGCCATTGGGTCCCTGCTGAGGTTTCTCTGCATGGATCCTATTGCAGGATCTCAGGGCCTTTGTAAGTATGCGGTTCCCCTTTAAGGCCGCCATCCTATGAAGACTCAAACTTGTGCTCACCTGAACACTGTGTGACTGTCTCATAGAAGTCAATGACACTATCTTAGGGTATGTCTACACTGCCACCCTAGTTCGAACTAGGGTGGCTAATGTAGTCATTCCAACTTGCAAATGAAGCCCAGGATTTAAATATCCTGGACTTTATTTGCATGTTCCCAGACGCCGCCATTTTTAAATGCCCCGTAGTTCGAACTACCTTCCCGCGGCTACACGTGGCATGGACTAGGTAGTTAGAATTAAAGCTCCTAATTCAAATTACCGTAACTCCTTCTGCAATGAGGAGTAATGATAGTTCGAATTAGGAGCTTTAATTCAAACTACCTAGCCCATGCCGCGTGAAGCCGCGGGCAGGTAGTTCGAACTACGGGGCATTTAAAAATGGCGGCGCCCGGGAACATGCAAATAAAGCCCGGGATATTTAAATCCCAGGCTTCATTTGCAAATTCGAAGGACTACATTAGCCACCCTAGTTCGAACTAGGGTGGCAGTGTAGACATACCCTTACTGTGCACAGAATTAAATTGTGCAAGAGCTTTAGCAGGATTACTGCCTTATTCTGTGTTTTTTCAGTACCTACAGAGCCCTGATTCAGTCCGGGCCTTGTATGTGCTACTGAAATATAAATAACAGTAAGACACAGATTTTTGGGCATTGACACTTGTCCTGTAACTGAATTGGATACATCATAACATCAAAAAGTCTGTTCAGGTAAATGAAATGTTGAGCAGATAGAAGTGATTACAAGCTACTCACAGGAAATCTGGGTGTGTCACTAATTTGTCCATCCAACTGAAACTGAAAATGGAGAATATTCTTTTTCTTAATTGTCAATGAAAGATCAAATAAATGGCAAATTTGCCATTCAGTCTGCTTCTTTGCAAAGTTCTTTCTGTGGCTTCACCCATCTGCTTGCGCTCAACTCTGAGTTTTGGGACACTGGCAGTTGGCTAATTATGTCTGGCTCAGAAGAAGCTGGGTCCATTCATTTTAAGCCAACCAAAGTAGAATAACTAGATATTGTAAACTACATGTGTGTGTTACATAGTTTGTATTTGATATGTACACATTGATCTCAGATATGTGTAAAATGAAAGTATGTTGTAAAGAAATAATAGATGCAAAAATCAGTTTTGTAAATACAGTAGGGCCTTGATTTTTAAGAATACCATTCTAATGTATGAGTTGTATGAACCATTTTTCCTGACATAATAAATATGCACATAATGAAAGTAGTGTCAGTGAAGAATAAATCGACATCCCTTCATATTCTGGTGCCTTCAGCGCATTGGAAATTAGTTTGTAAGATGAGAAGAAATTTGAGTCAAAGTACAACCCTTCAACTTAAGCACCATGCCTACTGCGATTTTTTGAGATGTTCAATTTTATGAAACTCTTCAATCCCCATTTAGTTTGTAAAATAGAGATTTGTACCTGACATACTGCAGGCTTGATTCATATGTTAATTATGCATCAGTTAAGGATGTTTCTTTGTCCCTTGTTCCCAGGTTGTTATGCTGAGCTCAGTCAGTGATTTGTTGTTGTATATTGATGAGAAGCAGCTAACTCCGGAGTTCGGGGGCACCTTGGAGTACCGTCATAGCGAATGGGTTATCTTCAGAACTGTACGTAGTGCTGCTTCTGTGCGGTTACTTTGTGTGAAGCCTAGCTCAAGCAGGGCCGAGTTCTACAAAGTGCTAAGAGCTGCTGCCCCTGCTGAATACCTCCTGGGAGAGTATACACCCTCAGTTCCTGCCGAGTTCTACAAAGTGCTAAGAGCTGCTGCCCCTGCCGAATACCTCCTAGGAGAGGATACACCCTCAGTTCCCTACTTAGTGCTCTGCAAGATCCAGCCCTTTGTGTAGCCCAAGATATTGGCAGTGCTTAACAGGATCTGAAAACAGAAGGGCTGTCTGTCATTACCCCCTCATTTTCCTGTCTCCTAACCCATCCATCCAGCGGTTTGTATGTATCCTCCATCTGCCCCACCTCATCTCTGCTGAGGGATTCTTCACCCTCTTCTCCCAGGCTAGCAGTGTCCTCTCTGCTCCTTCCGGGCAGAGGAACCATTCTGTTGCTCAGAGGAAGGAGTGGACCTGACTTGAGCTACTAGGTTCTTTCTATTCCCTCCTTCCTTCCTGTGTGAATGGTGTCGTCTTATGAGCAGTCCTGATTGGCTGCCTTCCTAGGCAAGAGCAGCCAATCAGAGAGAGTTGGTCCTCCCCTCCCTCCCCCACTGTATAACAAACATGCATCCCTCAGCAACCCAACTGGCTTCTTAAAATTGTTATTTCAAAAGTACATGACCCGGCATACTTTAAGCATTGTTTATTGACTGGGATTTTCAAAGGAATATATAGGAGTTAGGCACTGATTAGTTAGGACTTCTATAGGTCCCTCATTGCTTTAAAATCATTTAAAAATTTTCCTCACAGCAGATCCAAAGATCATTTCCTATTGTCACGCTAGTTTAAAATGGCAAATACTGTGTGTTTTTCTTCGTGTGTGGGTTAAAGTAGTTAAATAACTCTGGTTGTTCCTTGCATGTGCTACTCTTTCATGTTGCCAGGTTTGTATGCCATTGGCCTCCATGCTTTCTCAGAGCTATATCCTGCCTCACTGAGCAATAGGTAGACTGTTATCTAGACAGCTCAAAACACTAATGAAAACGACTTCCAGTTACTGCTTCACGCTATCGTCCTGGAATGAGCACCACAAGGTCAGACCCAAGGGTGAAAGTAACTTAACATTTCTTACAGGTACTGTCCTTTTGTAACCTGGGTCCCTGCCAGCTCTTTAAATAGCTCCCTGCTGGCTTTTGCTGCAGCTCAGCCAGCTCTTGTCATAGCTGCACACCAGGACATACCTGCTTACTTTCACCTCTCAGACCTCTATATCGGCATGGAGCACATTGTAGGATCAGGACCAAAAGCATGTCTTTCAAGTTATGAACTGGCATTAAGTATTACCGACAGCACCTTACTGCTTAACAATGTACAGGAAACCGCTGCCTTACGACAGCCCGAGTTGCGACTCTCCACACTTACGGCCATTTTTTGTAAGTGTGGAAGGGGCTGAAAATCCCCGACTTATGTCCTTGGCCCACATTTATGATGGCGCACGGAGCCTATCATAAATGCGGGTTTGAGTTACGATGCCCCCGACCCGCCCCCCCCCCCCCCCCCCAGCCTGTAACATACTGAACTTTATTTAAAAAGACAAGGCTGAGAACATTCAGAGAAAACCAATTAAAAAAAATAAAAATGTCTAATGTTTCTGCATGTTATAACATTCACAAGGGAGACCCATCATAGAGTAATTGGGTGGCTTAGCTTTTCCTTTTGGACAAGGATTAAATTACATGAACTTCCCGGCTACTCTGAAGCTAATGCCAAATCTCCCACTGGCTGTCAGACAAGCAGATTTTGAGACCTGGGGTGCTCAAATGAGCTCTAAGAAGTTAATTACTCATCTCCCATTGAATGTCAATGGCTTGGATGCGCCTAACCCTCTTAGGCTTATCAGCATTGGGTCTCAGTGCATTTTTTGATGCGATCTTAGAATATCCTGACTACTGAGATGATGAAATAATTGTCTTCCACCAGGCTATAGAGAGTTTTGCGCTAACAGTGAAGGAAATTGCGCAGATGTTACAGGCTTTCGGCACAGAACTGGCAGAAACAGAACTACCGGATGACATGTATTCAATTGAGCGCATCCTGGCTTTGCGCACAGAAAAGTATTGTCAGCTCAAGGTATGCTACTCAGAAACTCAGCTCTGTATTAAGCCAGTCGCAAACTGTCAGGTAGGACTTCTGTGGTTTGATTGACTATTCTCTCTCTCTCTCCCTCCCTTCCTTCCTTCCTCCCTCCTTCTAGTGTATTTGTTCTGACCACTAAAATAAACCATAATCATGTCTGTATGTTACCTCTTTATTTGCCTTTCACCTATTCAAACAATTGTCATGCCAGCGCCCAGGAAATGATGTCTATTCCCAGCTGCTTATTTGATAGCTATACAAGTGTCAGAACGCTAGAAACAAACCAAAAGTTTGCCCATTCTTGAGTATGCACCACATTCTTCAACAACGTCGTGTCTTCCAAGGAAGAACTATGAAAGGCTTTTCTCATGGATCTGCTTGTTCATACCCAAATCTGGCATATGCAGAGGGAACAGAATGCCAATTTCCCACTGACATCAAGGGGAGTTTTGTATATATAAAGAGAGCAGAAAAGAATGGTAGATTTGAAGGAGAATTTTGACCCATCACATCACACGTCTCATGAATGTGGCTGCTTATTCACAGATACGGTGGGGCAAATCCCACTCTCCCAAATGACTTCTGCAAAGTCATTTGGGAGAGCAGGATTTGAGGGGAGGCAGTGAATGTATAGCTAATATATATTTCAGAGAGTTGGTCTGTGAGTGCGTCTGTCTGTTTGTCTGAAATTTTCAGCAGTTATACATTTATATGGGGGGACAGCTGCCTCCCCCTTCCCACCTTGCCTCTGCTTCAGGTACATGTGGCCCCGCGGGAGCTGGTACATGTAGCAAGCTAGATCCCACGTGCACCGGCTCCCCGTGCCACTGCTCCTGCCTGCCCCCTCATGCAGTGAGGGGCAGGGAGTAGCTTGCATATAATCGTGATCATTAACGAATGAACCCAGGCTCATCGGTTAACCATTTAATCATGTACACTAGCACATTCCTAGTATGGGTTTAGTTGTGCCAGGAAAATGGGATATGCCCAGAATGGGATTGCTTCTAATAAAACCATACAGAAAAGAAACAGAATCACCAGGCAGGTGAATGGCTTGCTGGGGGTGCCTCCCTTCCCCCATTTGAGACTGCTCCAGCCTCGAGTCTCCCACCTCCAGCCCCCCTCTCCTCCAATTTGTATGGAAGCATTGCTGGCTATTCCCCTTTGTCAGGGAGCGAGGGGAAAGTGCACAGTTTGCTGCCTTCTGGGAAATGCAGGGGGCAGACAAACCTGGACCTTCTCCATCTGAGAGACATGCATCTCTCCCTCAGCTGTACCCTCTGGAGCTGCAGTGGCCATGGAGAGGCACTTTTCACCTGGCCCCAAGCTGCTCAGGGGTTTGCCTTTTCTCCAGGCTGGCTTAGGATTGTTGTTGCCGACTGCAACTGGTTGCGGGGTCTGCAGGTGGTTCAGTTCCCTGGAAAGGCCTTCCGCCTTCCTTCCTAGTATGACCCTCACTGAAGTGTGGGGCCCTGTTCTTATATCTCATGTCCTGCCTCTGCACTTCCTGTGAGGGGAAAGGCCTGGTTCTAGCTGCATCCAATAGGGAGAATTAATCCCCCTCCCCCATGCCAGAATTAGTCCACTGTGCCTCATTACACGGTTCTTTTCTCTTCCAAGTTTTCTCAATGGAGTCCAAACTAAACCTTGGAAAAACAGATATGTGAGTAAATCTGAAATGTTTAGTTAGATGCAATCAGGTTATTTCCTTTTTTTTTTTTTGGTTTGTGGGATTCCGCTGTGCTGCACCCAGGTACCTCCCCCCCATACACTGTCACTTTTAAACTGAATTCCTGGGAAACAATTCTCTGTGCTTTTAATCTGCTCTTTTTCAGTTGCTCTGTAATGCATAGCCACCACATATGTTTTACTAAGCATGTCTTCTTTGTTTTGTTAGTCAGAAAAAATATGATTTTATTTATGATCTGGTTCCTGTAGCCTAAAAGGCAGGAGGTTCCACGTGCACATGCCTGAGAGTGAAAGGTCAACTGTTAGGAATTATGGTTTCTTTTTAAGCTCTCTCGTGAGGGAGGGTTAAAGAACGTTGGGGTACCCCACAGGGAGACATTCCCAAGTGCATCTTCCTGGGTTCTCAAAGGAGTTTTTGCATTGGGTGGTGGCAGCATAACCTTGGGGAGGTTTTTTAAGCAGAAGCCTTTAGTGGCAAGTTATTTTAAGGTCTTTTGCAGGTCCCCACATGTGCCAGAGTGAAGAACAGTTTTGGCATGTGCCAACTACGCAGCTTTCATCTGATTCAATGTCTCTCTTGAAACTCAACAGCTCTTCCATCTTTCTTACCTGCATAACTTCAGCATTTTCAGTCTTCATCTTTTAACCAGGGTCTTCAAACACAGATGTCCACCCTGATACCATATTTCCCGATATTTCTTTGCTGTTGGCCAAAAGGGCCAGATCGCCAGCATACATTCGTTTTTCCTCTGTCTCCACAGGCTTGTTCTTGTACTAATTAATTCCATAGCTAGGATGAAGAGAAGTGGATTCAACATGCTGCCTTGTCTTAATCCCTCCATCCCCTCAGAACACTCTAGAATGCCATGTATTGGCACCATCTTACCTCTAGATGCAGGAACTGTGTGAAGGGTCATCGCTTCTCGAAGTCCCCCTCCCATCCATCTCAATACCTGAAACTCCAGCTCCTGTGGAACCAAGTTGCATGCGTTCTCTAGAATATAGCAATTCCATTGTTCATTCTTTCAGACTTTTGTCTTGTTGCAAAATATTGGGTCTATATTATTCCTTTCCTTCCTAAGCCATGTTCTCCTCTCCTGTAATTTCTGTTGCCTAAAGCTTGCCTCCAAAACTCTCCAGGAATTTGGGAGGCTGACTTGGTAGGGTGATGCTTTGTTAGGCGTTTGGATCATTAACATTACTCTTTGCATTCAGAGAGGCACAATCAATCCCATTCTCCACTCATCTGGCATCTTGGCTTGCTCTCAGCAGACACATATATGACATTCCCCACATTACAATTTGGACCATTCAACAGCTGTGTCCCTCCAGCCCGAGATACCGTTCACATTGCTTTTTCACTGCTAAACAGTCACCTCTCAGGCTCTGCCCACACCCAGCCTCTAACTTGTAACCTGCTCTCAGGTAAACATTATTGAGTGCCACTAGCCAGCCACTCATGAATTCAATGGCAGAGCAACACCCACAAATTTTCTTGTCCCAAATTTCCCCCCAGAGATGTGTCTTGTCGTGTACAATGCATTCACTGCGCAGTAGAAGCTCACGTCAAATCTGTCATTTCTTCAAAAGGAATATGATAATGCACCATCTTTGTTGCCCCAAATGGAGTTTTTCATATACTGTAACACAAACACATTGGTTAAGAGAAAAACAGTAATAGAACAGTAAATCCATCTGAACTTCACAGAGCTGGATTTTAAGGGATTGCAAGTGATGATGTATAAAACTCAGAATTGAGCACAAAAGGAAAATAAAAGACAAATAAACAAACTAATACCAAACTCCACCAGCTAACTAAGTTTAAAAGCAACAGTTTTGTCTCATCAGAAGTGGCAGTGTATTTCACAAGGCTGGGACACTTCCTCCCTGAGTTCCTTGCCTTTCAGGTGTCTTTTTCTGTTTTAGGCAAAATTTAATAGATTTTTGTGGGCCCTAAAAGTTTCATTTTTTTCTGATGTGAGAAAAAAATTAAAACATTTTCTTCAACCCTAAAAGTTGGTTTTTTTTCTTCTGATTTTAAAAGAAATTAAAACATTTTTGTGGGCCCCTAAAAGTATCATGGGCCTTAGGCGCTGTGCCTAATGGATAAGTTGGCCCTGATTAGTAGGAGGGAAGAAGGTAAATATACCTGGTGCATCACCATGTACCATTTCAGAATGTTGTACACCCATAATTACTGAGCCTGGTGATTTAAAACTTTACACTGGAAGCTTTTTGTCTTGTCCTGTGTGTACATACTTTATCTGCAGCAATAAAGCCCCGAGCTCAGGGTAGGAGTATATCTATGTTTTAATCACTAGAGTGATGCAACTTCTTTCATTAACTAAGCTGTGTCTACAGTCGGGTGTTAGATCGACCTAACTACATGAATGTTTTCACAGCATTGAGCAATGTAATTTTTTGCCAGCCCCAAACCATCATCTTTGTCACATGAGAGTCATATGTGGGTCCTGCAGCTTAGCAGGCCTGGGATGGAAGTTTCCATCCCTCTATACCCAGCTTAGCATAGCCTGGGCCCCTGCAAGCACAAACAGTAGATGGGCTTTATCAGCTCTAACCCTTGAGCTGGGAAACTACTGAGCGGCAAACAAGTTTGACCTCAGTCTCAGTCCATAAGAGTGATAAGAAAGGCATTGAGCCACCAAGTAAACAGTTGTAGTATAACTAGTGTAGGGAGTTTTGTCCGGTGAGTCTCTTCAGGGACCTAAACCTTGAAGGGTGCCCTGAATCCCCCTAGCTGGAGCCACGTCCACTGCAACCAGGTGTGAGGTGACCAGAACGGGACTCTCCGCAGACCTGAAAGGGCATAAGCATTTCCAAGTGCCTGTTACTCTCATATGCATTGCTTTGCCTTTGCTGATTGTTGTATTATTTTGCAGTAGTTGTGTAACCATTTGGCAGTATTAAGCCTGTAATAGTAATGATGTCGTGAGATTTGTATTGTTTTGCAGTAGCTGTGTAACCATTTGCCAGTATTAAGTCTGTAATAGTAGTGACGTAGTGAGATTAATAAAAAGCAACTATCTATCCCTAATCGACTCTGTCTTGAAGCGAATCCACAACCCTGTTGGGCCCTGGCCCTGTGATTTGACAATCTTCCTCCAGCTTTTTGTACAGTTCCTCTTCAGCCTCCATTCTTGCCTTACAGTATATCTACACAGCAGCGTTATTTCGAAATAAATCATTATTCCAAAATAGCACAGTGCACATCTACACTACAAGCCATTATTTCGAAATAGTGTCAAGCTGGAGGACTTCTTATCCGACTCCTATAACCCTCATTT